TGTGTTTACAGCCGTGCTGTAAAGGGCAGCACTCTCGCTGCCAGTGCAGTGCAAGGAATGCAGCCATGAGCTCAGCCATAATGATCACGAGCTGTCAGTGCATAAGGCCTCCAGCCAGCATGTGTGAATGTAGTGCATCTCTCGTCTGGTGCATTCTGTTGTCCATTAGTTGGGTTTGTTTGTTTCTTCAGGAAGTGAGGGGCAGGGAACTGTTGGCAAGTTGCTTATACTGTTGCAATATAACGATATAAGCTATATAAACGTGATATTTAAAAAAAAGAAAAGAAATATTGATATCATGTTTATGCTATATCCAGGTTGATACTCCAACAGAGTAGGTGGCTGTATTGCATCTTAAAGCAATAGTTCACCCCAAAATGAAAATGATGTCATCATTTACTCATCCTCATGTCTGCCCAGACTTTCATTCATCTTCGAAACACAAATTAAGATATTTTTAATGAAACCTGAGAGGTTTCTGTCCTTTAATTGAAAGTCCAGGTAACCAAAACTTAGAAGAATCAAAAAGGTCATAAAGTTATCGTAAAATGAATACAAATGATTTGAGTGTCTTGTGAAAGTCATGTGAAGAGATATGCTCTATGTATGTGTGATGATCATTGTTAATTTGTGAATAAACCCATAAATTAAAACTGTTCATCATATAAAGTGATTGTATCGCTTCACAAGTTTTGAGTTAAACTACTTGATTCATATGTGTTTGATTTATGCCTCATTTATGGCCCTTTAGGATCTTCTAAATTTTGGTTACCTGGATTAGACATACAGAAACTTCTAAGGTTTAATTAGAAATATCTTAATTTGTGTTTTGAAGATAACAAAGGTTTTATGTGTTTGGAATGACATGAGGGTCAGTAAATGATGTTTCAAGTTTCATTTTTGGGTGAACTATACCTTTAAATCTGGTTGTCACCTGTCATAAAATGAAAAAAAATAAATAAACAATTTGTAAATACTACTGCCGCACAAAATCATTTACATGACTACATGCATTGTCAGCTTATCAATAATATTATTTATAATTGGGTTAGGACCGTGCATGTAAACATGCTCAAGTCAATCTACTTTAGACTGGATGTAAAGAAGTGCATAAAGATGCATTGTTTTGTTTTAATATTTTTATGAATGTCTTCATCTTCCTGTAGCAAGACATTTTCATGAATTTTTAAACAGTTGTTTAAACTGCTGCAAAGGGGATCATTGTTTCAGTGAATTTAACTAGAGAACCAAACAAGCATGATTCATGAACAAATTATTCAAACCGTTTTTGTGAAATGGATCAACAGTTCATTAAAAAGATCTCTCTTAAAATACACTCTAAAAAATGCTGGGTTGTTTCAACCCAACTTTGGGTCAAATATGGACTAACCCAACTTTTGGGTTAAAAATTGAATGTAAAAATTTAACCCAACAGTTGGGTTAGTCCATATTGGGTTCCTAAATGACAAGCCCAGGCTATGATTACTCCAGGTTAATTTGATGGGACTCAAAAACAGTAATATGCTGTTGTGGAATGTGCTCGGATGCTCTTTTGTGCGTTCCAACTCCCCAACCCTCCTTCTTCCACCAACCTTTCACATAACACACAACACACACGCACACACTCTCATACTGTCCCTTGTCTGTCAAAACTGGAGGATTGCCAGCATGTTTGTTCAGGCCAAACACGTACACACATCCCAGTAATCAATATTTCTCTCTTTCCCTCTATTCCTCCATATTTCATCCCTCTTTCTTATTCTCCACTCCCTCCATTCTCCCTCCTCCCTATCTCTGTCATCATCTTAGTCAATCGGACTATATTTACCTCTTCCAGCCAAACAGAATTCCAATGTCTGCCTGTCTCCCTCTTTCTCTCTCTCTCTCTCTCTCTGTCTCCATCCCTCCCATATTCTGCTCATTGCTTCGTCTTTGGCCTCTTAATTCTTTCTCCCATTCATCTGAAGGACTCGTCAGGGTCAACAGACCAACAGGCTTAGAGACAGATAAATAAAACAGAGGGAGGAAGAGAATGCAACAAAAAGAGAATAAACCCAGAAAGCGGTGACAGAATTGGGAGAGAGGGAATATTATGTCAGAGATTCCTGGTGCCTGGTGATTGCAAGCAATTGCATTAGCACCTGAAGTCATGAAACAGAGAGGAGCAGCCAGGAGGAGGCTGCTACAAAAGTAAATTGAAAATGATTTGCTTGTATTGCGTGTGTGTGTGTGTGTAACTGAGATAGAAAGGAGCGTAAAACAGCATGGAGGCACTTTCTTACATATCAGCTGCATAACCTCTTACTCTAAAAAATAATTTTATTGGTGTGTGTGTTCGGTCATGTGGGTATGAAGAATTTGTGTGGGTGTTTATATTTTAATCTTTGTTATTATTCATTCACCTTACAGTAAGCACCATCCATTCCTTGACTCTTGACTTGTTTTTATATTTACCTCTACCAGCCAAACAGAATTCCAATGTCTGCCTGTCTCCCTCTTTCTCTCTCTCTCTCTCTCTGTCTCCATCCCTCCCATATTCTGCTCATTGCTTCGTCGTCTTTGGCCTCTTAATTCGTTCTCGCATTCATCTGAAGGACTCGTCAGGGTCAACAGACCAACAGGCTTAGAGACAGATAAATAAAACAGAGGGAGGAAGAGAATGCAACAAAAAGAGAATAAACCCAGAAAGCGGTGACAGAATTGGGAGAGAGGGAATATTATGTCAGAGATTCCTGGTGCCTGGTGATTGCAAGCAATTGCATTAGCACCTGAAGTCATGAAACAGAGAGGAGCAGCCAGGAGGAGGCTGCTACAAAAGTAAATTGAAAATGATTTGCTTGTATTGCGTGTGTGTGTGTGTGTAACTGAGATAGAAAGGAGCGTAAAACAGCATGGAGGCACTTTCTTACATATCAGCTGCATAACCTCTTACTCTAAAAAATAATTTTATTGGTGTGTGTGTTCGGTCATGTGGGTATGAAGAATTTGTGTGGGTGTTTATATTTTAATCTTTGTTATTATTCATTCACCTTACAGTAAGCACCATCCATTCCTTGACTCTTGACTTGTTTTTATTAACACACACACACACACACACACACCTTAGAAGCTATGTTAGTGGGTGCCTTTCGTAGATGCTGTGGTTTTGTTCTAAAATAATGATATTTAGGTCAATGACGTGACGCTTATTTTTTTGTGCAGATCTTAAAATGTAGCCTATTCATTACCAATACATTAAAATACAGTAATTCATACCTACAATGAATTGGAATACAACTCCTCTGTTATGAACTTTTATTTTCTAAACTAAAGAAAATGTTGATAACTTTTTAAAATATAAAAAATGTCAGGATGATACAAGAGTCCTGATATCATAATGGGAAAAAAAGAAATATTAAATATCAAATTTCATTAAAAAAATAAATGATTGAAATAGTTTGGTATAATCTTTTATTATTATTTTTCAGAAAGAAGCTGCTTACTAAATTTGAAAACTTTTGCGGTGTGACTAACATGCAAGAAAAAAAAGGACTCAGCAAAAAATGTAACCATTTAAAGAGTTGCTGATCTCATATGAATGTGCATGATTTGATTCTTACTAAACGTAAGATTTTTGAAACAAAATATGAAGTTTCACCTCTAATCTCACCCCTAAATCTAACCCTCATTGGGACGTAAGCTGATCACACAACACATGCAAATGGTATCTTACAAAATTCATATGAAATTTTCCCCCAGTTCACCAAACCATAAAATACTTAGGAATTGCAGAGTGTCATGGAGGACTCCTGAATAATTGGCCATTTTAAACTTTAAAAATGTATTTACATTTTTTGGATTCATTGAGCGGATACTTACGGATACTTACTTATTAGTTAGACCATGGGGGGCAGTCGTGGCCTAATGGTTAGAGAGTCGGTTAGAGAGTCGGACTTGTAACACGAAGGTTGCGGGTTCGAGTCTCAGGTCCAGCCGGAAATTATCGGTGGGGGGAGTGAATAACCAGTGCTCTCTTCCACCTTCAATACCACGACTGAGGTGAGACCCTTGAGCAAGGCACCGAACCCCCAACTGCTCCTCGGGCGCCGCAGCAATATGGCTGCCCACTGCTCCGTGTGTGTGTGTGTGTGTGTGTGTGTGTGTGAACTTGGATGGGTTAAATGCAGAGCACAAATTCCGAGTATGGGTAGTACTGTATAAAAACCATTACGCCTATGGAGAGTCCCCGTAAACCACAAATGTAATGTGTGTTTGTGTGTGTGTGTGTGTGTGTGTGTGTGAACTTGGATGGGTTAAATGCAGAGCACAAATTCCGAGTATGGGTCACCATACTTGGCCACATGTCACTTCACTTTTTTTTTTCGATTGTGGTTACACCAATTGAGTTTTTCCACAAACCATATGAAACAAACATGAATCTAAAGAGTACATTTCTAAGAACTTGTGTTTAAAGTAGATTTATAATAAAGAATATTTTTCCTTTTCTTTATCAAGGGCACTTTTTTTTGGTCATTGACCTATTTAATAAATGCAAAAAATCCCTCGTACAAACCTGTTGCCATTATGCCATTATTACATTGAATTGAAATGTAAATTGAAAACATGAATTGGCTGATTTGTGAGCCTTTCAAATAGTGAAGACCACTTTAGATGTCCTCACAAGATGGTTTCAGGCCCTCACAAGAACAAATAAACCTGTACACACACAAGCTCACATGCAGTTTCTTTCTATCCCTCTATCAATTATCCTCCTGTGTTGCTCCATTTCACCCTGTGTCCTGAATAAAAGCCCATTTAATTTTCCTCCATCTTTTGTCAGTTCTTGTGCTTTCTTGCAATCTGTCTTGTTCTACTTTTCTTTCTTTTTCTTGTTCTAAGCACTTACTCTCTCTTTAGGCTATATCTCTCAAGTGCTTTTTTTAATGTATGCAATATATTGCTTGTATGATTTTATTTTGATCAGAGTTTCCCTCTTGCTTTTCCTTCCTGGTTTCACTCAGGCTTTCTTTGTACCCTCACGTTTGGCTTCCTCGTTTATTGCCATGGTCACAGTACCCACACTCTCTCTGCTATTGGCCCTGGTAGAATGGGCGGGTCAGAGTAGCTCCTCCCCTCATCTCTTGCTCCGGCCCCGAGAGCGTGAACGGGACCCGGTGGCATCAATGCACTTCAACATCGCAGTGATCCATGTGGGCTCAACGGTTCAACAAGGGGAAGCAGGGGCTACAGCAGCTGCGGGTAGGGTGCCATACCCGGGCTTCGGACGTGTGCACAGCAGCTTTGGTGAGAGCGTCGTCACCCAGTGGGGATCCGCAAACGTAATCTGGCTCCAGGTCTGTCCGATAGAGGTCATGCAAATTAAATTGAATTGATTTTAAATTTAGAGTAGCCTGAATACCGCTTTGTTGATTGTGAACTGAAGTGTGAACACAAAATCACTTAAGCATGAGTATTCATTCGTAACTACAAAAGTTAATGTGGTGTGAATGAGAACACGAATGTGAAGTGAATGTGAATTACCTACAGGTGAATGACAGCAGCCCCAGGACGCTGCTCTCTCAGCTGTGTGACTTGCTGGCAGCCAGGCCCCTTCAGGGACTTGTGTATGAAGATGAGAGACCCCTCCCGCTGGCCTCTGGCCCCCTGGCCCCCATGCTGGAGTTTGTTTCGGCACAGACCGGCCTCCCCATCGTTGCTGTGGGAGGGGGAGCAGGTCTGGGCAGGGTACCACAGGTATGATTGTTTAGAGAATTTAGGTGTGGTCACATTCACCATCGCTCAGAAAAAAATTCCAATAAAAAACAAATCCAATGATTTCAATAAGAATCCACGCAATTAGGAGTTTTGCAAAGTTTCCCATACAGATCTCGCTTATGATCAAATTGGTCATGCAAATTTGCCACATTGACCAACTGAAAGCTGCTTGGTGAGTCTGTGTGAGCGGTGCTTCACGCATTGCTACACTATTAACAATGGAACTTTGAGATGTGACCGCATCCTTAGAGTTTGATTTTACTCTAACTGCATTCAAATGAGAAATCAACTAGTAATTATTCACAATAAATCTATAATCTGAGTTTTATGTGGCTGAGCACATTTCATTGATCTATCTTTTCACAGTGGAAATCTCCTAATATAGACTGGTGCAAACTAACTGAATGATTTTAAATACAGAACCAAAAGTCTACAGACAGAAACCTGTCCTGTTTGAAGCATTTCCTGTAACCCTGTGAGGTTTAAGCTAGTGTCAACAAATGCAAAGTCAAATTCCTCTTAAAAGCGATTGTACCCAGCCAGTGCGATTGATTTTGATTCTGAAATATAGTTGTCTTGAAATGAATAGTGTGTTTTCCTGATTAACTGTACAGTCTATGCCATTTAATAGGACAACAAAACTAGGCCACTGAGGATTTCTTAGACCTGTCTGAACAGTCTCAGACGCACTTTAGCAACACTGAATTATTTTACAGTGTTGTTGTTTCTGAAAGGGAAAAAAAAAAGAATATTGGAGTTTCTTTAGACTGTGGAAATTCCTCACAAACATCTCTCTCTGCAAGCTTTTGGTGTTAATGAGCTCAAACACTTGCTAGATAGTGTTTGGCTTGCTGCAGTGCTATAAGGGCATTGTTTGTTAATGGTACCGCCTGAGGAGGACCGTTAAACGGACAGAGATAGGGCTGCCGTCGTCTCTGTCGGGGCCTGATCAGGGCACACCGATAACTGTAGGAAGGGATGGCATTACTAACATCCATTTGGATAAATAGCAAGGGCAAGGGTCATGCATTACCGCTGCAGGCCATATGGTCTGCTCTTTTTTTCCCCTCTTGTGTTCACTGAAGTGCTTCGGTCTGTGTTTTGCAATTTCAGTTGCTCGTCTCGACATGTTCTCCCTAGCACAGTATGAAAACAAAAAAAGTAAAAAGACATTTTCATTCACAAATGTTTTGTTTATCATTATATTATTTACTCTAGAGACATGATATTGAATCCTGTCGATGATGTTGCATTGAATCCTACACACTCGAACCCACGCGTACACTCAATGCCATTGCAAATTCAATTTAAAGCTGTGTGACATACTCCAGTGACGATCACAGTCACTAAAGTACCTCCCTCCTGTTCCTACAGCGACTGTATATCTCGGTAACTCTTTATAAGTAATTGAATTTCTATTATTAGATATAGTCTTCAATCACAGGAAACGTAGTTAGTTTTGCCCTTAATTGCACTGCAGAAGACAAGCTCTGTCTACTGTTATGATTAGAGAATGTCACATTAGAAACAGTTCAGAAGAAATGTAGTTCCCATGATGCCTTATGCAAGGAATGAATCAGCTGTCTTTAGTCTTGGGAAATGTAGTCGTTTACCATCTCAGTTACTCTGCAGGAGACCGGCTCAATCTTCCTGCAGTTCAGCTCTTCCACCGCACTCCAATTGGAGGTGATCTTTGAGGTGCTGGAGGAGTACGATTGGACGGCCTTCTCGGTGGTGTCCACACGTCACCATGGCTACCAGGACTTCCTGTCAGTAGTGGAAGGTTTGACCGACGGGTCATTCATCGGCTGGGAGAAGCAGAGCGTAGTGATGTTGAATTTAACTGATGACCCAGGAGGAGCACGCGCACGACGGCTACTGAAAGAGAATGAAGCACAGGTAGAGAGGGAAGGTCATTGCGTTTCTGTCTCACTTATTCGCTTACTATCTCATTTAATCATTCGTTTACTCTTCCTCCCTCCACCGGACATCCCTTCCTGTCCTTAACCATTTATTTGACTTTTTCTTTCGGTTGTTTTCTCCACCATCTTTCTCTGACCTCTCGCTGTCCTTCCTTCATTCCTCTCTCATTCCCATTCCCTTTCCCATCTCTACCTATATTTGTGTAATGTGTACGTGTGTGTATGTGTGTCACAGGTTGTCCTCTGTCTCCCCCTGGCTCCAGGCTGTTATTGTTCTGTGTATGTGTGTGTTAGAGGGTGTTATTGTGCCTTGTGGGTCCCAGTACACTGATGTCAGTGTTAATATAACACAGAGCCTGTGGCAGTGCAGCCCAATGCCGTATGCATTAGATTCAGTCTGCAGTGCTTCTGCTCAATTACACACACTCACTCTGAAATAAATATTGCACACATACATAAAGCATGCATTTATAAACACACAGAAAGTTGCATAGTAGAATATATAGAGTGCAAATGTATTCTTAGATTATGCTGGCCAGTATGACAGTGGTAGAAATGTGTCAGTTGGTAGATATTGCTATACCGTTTATAGTACTACAGTGTATCAGCTGTATGATTTTAAATAAATAAATAAATAAAACACTAAGCAAAATGTTATAGTATACACACTGTGTTGCAGAGTTGTTTTCAGTGTAGACAACTTAGTTGATTGTAATGGGAGCAATTTAGTTTTGATATTTCAGCGAGTATTGGTGATTGTTTTCAACTCAGTTGTACTGATGCCAGACTTATCATTAATTTCTTAAGAATGATCTTATCTTTGGGTTTGGGGTCATCTAAAGATCTTGATATAAAATATACAGTAAAAATAATATGAATGCACAATATTGGGATACTATTTGGGTTATCAGTTAAAATTGACTTTTTAAATATTTTAAATGTATTGTTATCATATTGTTGTAATGTTATGAATATTGTTGATATTGGATAGATATTGACCTATTTTGACATTTTTATTCAGCATTCTAATTTCTAAATTTATATTTAGATTATCTTTATTATCTGATGAACACTTAAAGTTGATCTTTAAACACAGTAATTTTATTAAAATAAAATAAATTTAATATGAATAATTGTATTAATAGTTGTAATGAAAATGTTTTTTTAATTATTTGAATTTAAATAGGTTGTTATCAATCGATATTTGGATATATATTGGCCTATATTAGTTATTTAATTTGCATGCTAATTTCTCCTGTTTTCACATTTAGGTTATATTTACTATCTCCTAGTAACACTTGAAGTTAATATTTAAAAACACAATAATAATTAATCTTAATAATTTGATTAAATTGTAATGTTTTTTATTTATTTAAATAATACATTTAATGTTGTGATGCCTACATTTAATTTTAAATAAATTGATTTGAGTTTTTAATGTTTTATTTATTATTATATATTAGGGAAAATAATGTAGGATTTTAATATCAGCTACTGTATTTATTGGTTATCAGCTATAACATAAAATACTTATTGGCTTATCATTATCAGCTAGAATATTAAAATTGGTGCATCCCTAAAAATAACTCTCATAGGAGCAATATTTGGTTCAAGAGGTAAGTATAATGCACAGTGGCTTGCAAGCCCTTTAGCTGTGACTATATTCACAATGCATCACAATGTTTATTGCTAAAAGCAAGTGGCATTCTTCTGCTAAAAGATATAGTCCCTGACAATATTGCTATGTAACAAAAATGTCTGCTATAGGAGCTGTGCAGTGATAAACTGGTGTGTTTCACCTATTTTGTGTATTTTAGCACGACTGGGACGTGGTGTTGACCAATCAAAAAGCCAGGACCAAAACTATACTATTTTATAATGTGATATATATATTACCATTATTACGGTATTACTCATACCAAGATTTTCGATGTACAGCCCACCCCCACTTTATACACATATAGGATATACTGTATACTCTACACACACACACACACACACACACACACAGAACAAGAACATAATTTCATCACTTAGTCTGTCCTGTTCAGGGCTGGTGAGTTTAGATATGAGTTGGATTTTCTATCCATTTATTCTATCATTCTCTTGTTCTTTTCCCAGTTCTCTAGCCCTCTTCTCCTGTTCTCTCTCTTTTACAGTCTATCTCTCTTGGGGTTTTCTCTCTCATGCATTGTAAAGGTGAAATCTTTAGTCCATCTCTCAGTTTCTGCTTTTTACGGTTCCTTCCTTCCTTCCTTCCTTCCCTCCCTCCCTCCTTCTTTCCTTCCTTCCTTCCTTCCTTCCTTCTTTCCTTTCTCCCTCTCAGATGTGCTAGTTTCCTTTCTCCCTTTTTCCTTCTCTCCTTCTCTTTCCATCCATCCTGTATCCGTCTTTTTTCATTAAGGCATGTCCCAGCACCATTACTCCAAAGGAGTAATGCTCCTCTCCTGTAAAATCATTTCTGTCTGTTACTGTTTGGCTGGAATAAATCGTAATACATCAGGGCTGCAGCTAATAACTGTTTTGATATTCAATTAATTGTTGGTTAGTTCTTTGATTGATTAATCAGCTATCTTAACCAATATTGTTCTTTAAACAGTGTGCACATTGAAGTAAGCCATATTCTGTGCTATACAAAGTGGTGAAAAAAGTGATCAAAAAACACTACACTTTAAATGCGGCAGAATAAATAGCATTGAAATAACAGTTTTAACTGGTGAGAGGTACAGTAGAATGTATGACTGCAGGAGCACACATATTCTGCCCTTTGAACATGGTACATACTGTAGAACATAAATCTACAGTAATCAGTTTATTAACTCCTGTAATGAAGCCTTCATTTTTCAGTAATCCCTTTAATGTTTGCTTTCATATATCATTAATTACAGGGCATATAGGATTTAAAGTTTTAATCCAAATTCACTGATCCAAGTGATTGCACTCCCTTTCTGTTGTGCTCTGTTTAATTGACACGAATGCTCTATGAAATATTTGAAGTTTAATGATGACAGCGACATTTTAATCGCTCTTTTGAAATTAGGACTGTTAGGCTCTGTTTTGTAAAATGGAAATACTCTCATTATAAGAATTTGACAGCAAAATGTAAATTTTTTTTTTCAAGAAAGACATTTTTCAGGTTCCACAAGTACATTACAAAGATGTGACTTATTTTCATGATCAGTTTTTTGATTTCCTAAGTAAGTTCCAGCCCTAAAATATATAAACCCAATACCTCTCCTGTCCTCTCTTCCATCTCCTCTTCTCATTCCGCTCATGGTCTCTTCCTCCCTTTTGACCTCTGTGTTCTTGTTTGCACTCTCTTTTGTTTCCTCTCTTGCTCCTGCTCTCTGGTTTTTATCTTGGTCGCCTCTGTCCTCTTTGCCCCCACTCCCACTCTAGGTGCGGTTGTTGTACTGCTCTCAAGAGGAAGCAGAACAGGTGTTCCATGCTGCTTGGGCAGCTGGTCAGGCCAGCGCCTCTCACATATGGTTCGCAGTGGGTCCGGCTCTGTCCGAGCTGGGCCTGACCGGACTTCCCACTCGACTGTTTGCAGTCAGACCGCAGGGCTGGAGGGACGAACCCCGCAGACGTATCGCCCGTGGGGTGTCCATCCTTACCCATGGAGCTGTCGCATTGCGTAAAGACTATGGAGCCACTGGAGGGCCGCACTTTGTCACTAACTGCCAGACAGATGGCAACAGAACACAGAGGATTCGCGGTAGAATGAAGTAAGTTCTTTCCACCGATACAAGATGTGACTTGTATGTTTTGCACAGAGAGATACAACATGCTCACACCAAGCAGCGTAACACTTTCTTCTATATTATAGTGACTATGAACATAAAAAAGCTTTCATTAGGCATTTGACTAATGCAATGTACTGTATTAAGTGAAACTGAATATTTGGTGGGACATGAGGTATCATGGTATCAAATGAGATTTCATTGGGCAGCATAAGAAGGCTGTAACATAATTGGTTAATTACATTTTTCAATAAATACACTACTTTTAAAAAGTTTGAGTTCAGTAAAGGTTATTTTTCAAGAAATTAATACTTATATTCAAAAGGATGCATTAAATTGATCAAATGACATTAAAGACTGTCGTATTCAGTAACCACTCGCCAACTAGTTTTTAACAGGTGCAATCAGAGTATTTAAATTAAGTAATTATCATTCATTTCCACACAAACACACCCTATTTCTATGTAAATTAGGCTCATTGTTCCGTGTATCGCGCTTTATTCACAATAAAATTTAAGCAGGTGACAAATACATTTTTATACAAAAGGGATGTTTGTGCACTTTCTAGTAATCATGACAGCAGTAAATCAGCTGATTATTATCAAATGATGGAGAGGAGTGTTATAACGGGGCATTTATCCAGATTCACATGTAGTAAAGTGCACTTTCTGCTTTTTTAAGATATTATTTAGGTGTCTGGATGTCTATGGTGGGACTATGCTGTACAGGTTCAAAGGTTGTGTATTCGTGATATTGCCTGCGTAATTCATTTAGTGAATCAAGTGCTAAACCAGCACATGCAAATAAATGCTGCTTTCAGCGTAGTTTAAAAGTGTTATTATGCTGATCTTGGATATCTTTAAAAATCCCTCTATTTATGTTCACCCTGAGAACTGTGTTTAAAGCTCATCTCATTTGGCATTAACCTTCAACTTTTCTGCTTTGTTGCATTTATAGTAAGTCTATTTATCTGTAATGACACACTTTAATGAGAGTGAAAGTGCTGCACCTTTGGGGCATGAACGTCCTTTACTCCCCCACCACAGGGACTGTAGGGGGAGGCGTTCAACATGCCCCTGAATTGAAGAAGACAACATGGGTGGGAGGGGATAAACAATAACAGTGTGCTTGATGCTGTGTCTACCCTGAAAGCAAGCAATTCAGAAAAGCTAGAAGAGCGTATAATTATATTCAACAAGCATGTGCCAGTTTCATTTATTATAACTGGAAGATTATCCACCTTATTTTTAACACAAGAGCAGGTGGGGCCATTTTTAACTTCCATTATCAGCTGCTTCTAGTTATGTTCAGTAATCTAGTCCATTATGCTGCTTGATGTTGCAAACTGGTATTTGTTATCATGTTATTTTAAAGTATTATCGTAATCAGAAACACTGGTTTTATTGCAAAATAGTTTTTAATTTATTGCACTTTGTTATTCTTAGTTATATACCTGTAGTTGCTAATCAATTGGAAATCTCGCAAATTCACAGGAAACAGCTTACTTCTGCATTGAAAAATTAGGTGGATAATTTCTGAGGGGCTTTTTGACAAAATCATCCTTTTAATTTAGTTAGTATTTTGTCATTTTTTTATTTTTGTTGAATTAGATAAAAATGGCATTCCATTTTAGTAGACGAAAGAAAGTGCAAAATTTTACAAAATATTCAAACAATTTATATCCATGTCATTATTGACTATAATCAGATTCTTTGAAACAGTCAGCTCTATTTTTGTCTCATCATATGTTCATCAGCAGTATGTTTTAATTAAAATATGTAATTATCATCACCGCATTTTCTGTCATCGTTGTTATCGTTGGTAAAATTTAAAAAAAGCTTAATTAACGAACAGCTTCATCAATAAATTTGACGAGAAAACCACTGGCTGCCAGTGATGAAACTAGAACATCTGAACAGACTGAACTTAAAAAAATGTGTTAACCACCTTTAACAGCATATTTTACACATTGTAGAGAGAAATTACATGGACTCACTGAGCAGAAACTCTCAATGTAACACACATCAGTGTGACTCACTCATTACACATCAGAAGAAGATTGATGGGAAAAAGAGATTCACCTGTTTAGCTTTGCTGATGTAATTACGGTTTGCTAAATAGGCTTCCACATAATGGTTTTGCATGTATTTATCACAGAGTTGTAGGTACTTTGTGAGGAATATTCACAAAAGGCTCATAAGAACAGCAAACTTTACTCCTTCAAACTTGTTCACCCAGTCAAATTTTTAAATGTGCAGTCATTTTGCCAAAAGCATATTGGATTTAAGATAAAAAAAACATTCATTTGAAGCAGTCACAAAGAATGTCACATTTAGGCACTGTTCTGGGTATTTTACTGGTTTAGATTAAGTGCTCGAAATAGAGTGACTGCCTCCTTTGATTCCATTGCTGAAGGAAAAAAAACATGGTTACCTTCACCACAGTCTTGCAATCTGACCTAATTAGGATGTTTGTGAAGGGCTCTGTGCAAGATTTCCTCTTTGACATGTCCTCGGAGTCTTTTATACTAATTCTTTCTGGGTCTCTTCCATCTCAACAGACTGTTTCTGCTCTGTTCTCTCTGCTTTGCAGGTATTTCAGTAACATCACACTCGGTGGGCGGGACTATAAGTTCAATTCCGAGGGCTACCTGGCCAATCCCTTTCTGGATGTCATCTCCTACACGCCTGGGAGTGGCTGGGAAGACGTAAGAACTAATCAGAATTCTATTTCTGTTCGTTCTTGTGTAACCGCTGTTATGGATTGGTAATGTCCAGGATGAAAAGCAGCATTGCAGTAGCCATGCTGAGCACTGCAGTAGCAATGCGCTGGAATGGATTTTGAAAGAAGAATACATATCATTCGTGGTGTCTGTTTATGACACAGACCGCTTTTTTTGTGCACTGTTAATTATGCATATGAACGATTGCATTACGTATAGGGATTTAAAGGTAACGACAGCCCATTGCTTTAATAAAATGTGCAATTTACGTCATCACTACTATTATAATGATATACTTGCTGTCTAAGAGCTGCAAACATAATGTTCCCATTTGGAGCAGTAAGACATATAGATGGAAAGCAGTTTTAAAATGATATACAACTTGACACTACACTAATTTCGAAAAACCATTTCCCATGACAGTCCACAGCAGAAAAAACCCATTACAATTAACTCTGAACAATGCATCACATTGTGCAGCAGAGAGAGTGTTTTGGTGTTGACGGTGCACTTCTGCCTCACCACACAGAACCGTTAAAGCCTCAATGATATAAACATATAATTAGGGTTTCATGAGGACGTACATAATGTACAATTAGCTCATGTGTACATTTGGCACTTTTATCTATGCATATCCATGATACCCACAGTATGTTATTAAGATAAGCAATGCTTTCCTTCATTATTAGCTTGCGACTTTATTATTATTATGTGAAGAACAATAACTGGAAAATAATTAATTGTGAAATGTTTTTAGAGAGCGGATTTGATTTCCTCTTTTCCCTCTCCCTTCACTAGTTATGTTTGTGTTAAGTATGTCTGAGCGGAGAAAGAATAAATAAATCAATGAATAAAAACTCCCTTAAATTTATTAGCTTCTCATATATCAGCGTATCGTAGGTGCCACATGGGACGTTGTGGCTCTACATTTCTTCCGCAGAGCGCTGCTGTCGTGAGACAAAATAACTGATCCCAAACCCAGCTGAGTAAATATAGCTGGGGAGAATGTCATATACATGAAGGTGCCACTCAAACCAGTGCCTTAAAACAGAATTATTAATATTTAGATGCCACAAAGAAAATTGTAATCCCTGGCAGCGCTTGTGTTCTCCACCTCTACAATCTGTTAACAAGGAAAATGACAGCGGATTATGTACTTTGGAGAAATTCTAATTCCTTCGGGCAAAATTCACTGACATTGAGACATAGGAGCAAAAAAGTTTCCATACAGAGTGGGGGTTATTTTCTGCTGAGCTTGTCACAGTCTATATTTATGCGCATTATATACTGTACACAACATAGCTTAAAATCAATGCTTTTCAGGAGAATTCTCATGCATTGGAGCAATGATTGCAGTTCAAACTTCAGCACATTCTGTCGAGCGTCAGGCTAACGTTAACTGGCTTCATTAGGAGAGTGAGAGGATGCACAGGGATTGTGTTGCCCTGGGCGTCTTGAAAGGTCGAGTGTTGATCGTTTGTTCTGTCAGTGTTCTCATATAGGCTTTGTTTAGGTGCCAGCGAATGAGTTCCTCCTTGCTGCCTGTTCTACATTTAGTCCTTTCTGAATCAGGCCAGCCTTTCATTTCCTTAAAATCTTTCTTTTCTCCTGTATTAAAGGGATCATTCAACCAAAAATAGAATTCTGTCACCATTTACTCTCATGTCGTTCCAAACCCAAATTATTTTCTTTCTTCAGTTGATCATAAAAAGAGATGCTAGACAGTACGTTAATGATACTCTTTTCTACACAATGAAAGTGAATGGTGACTACTGGGGCAGTCAAGCTGCAAGAATAAGAACACTATAAAAGTATTCCAAGTCTTCTTCTGAAATCTTATGATAGCTAAGAAAAATGTACGAGAAAATGTAACTATGCGAATTTATGATTTATGATGTGATTTGTATGAAAGTGTAAAATTTTTAGAAAAAACAGTAAACATAAAGGTCGGCCCCTAAACCTAACCATCAATGCGGGTATAAGTAGATTGTACGAAAATGTATTAATGAGATAATAAATTCATACGACTTAGCCACCGATTCGCCAAAATGTAAAATAGTTACAAATTCCTATGAGATTGTGTAGCTTTGTGTGAGGAAAATCTTCTCACTCTGCCATATCTCTCAGATTCCATTTCTTTGATTTTATATTCTAATTTGGCATTACAATTGGTTATTAGACATAAGAGCACCACTCGCTATTGATTGGTTTAAAATCTGGAGTGGCATGTCTTGTTGTTTGAATAAACATATGAGAGTTGTGGCAAATGAGAATATTATTGAAAAACTGCTAAATCTTATTCTGTTCCAGACTCAAAGGTATTGTATGGCTTTTAATTGTATGGCTGTGTTTCTCAACCATGGAGCTCGGGGGCCTCAGCACAATTCCAAGGGGGTCGTAAGATGGCCTCAAATAATTTAAAATAAGACAAAATATGTTTTTAAAAAAGGTCAAACAGTTAAAAATAAAGATGTAGACTCTGGGTTTTCACAGTCTTGGAAAACCTGGATATGGGAATTTTAAAAGTGTGATTTCTAGACCTGGAAGTGTCATGGAAATTATTAAAATATTAAAAAGTCTCTGAAATTTCTACAATGAATATACATTTTTCTAGTTATTAGGGATGCACCCGGTATCGGGCCCGATACTGAGCTCCTGTACTCGTACTCGTACTCGTTAAAATGCCCCGATACCAAACGCCGATACCACACAGCATGTGATAAGCGCCATATTCAGACAAAGAAACACCGACAACAGAACAACAGACAGCAGAATGGAGTTATTAGAGATTAAGGATGTCTACGAAGTATATGTATGCAATGAATATAATGTTAAACATTCAGTATTAACGCCTGTATAGCTGAAGTGCGCGAGCTGATAAAAAAAGCACGCTGAGTGGATTGAGCGCGCTGGCGGCGCAGATGATATTTTATTACCATTTTCTAAACTATAGCGAATAAACTGTGATAATGTGAAAAATTTTGAAGGTGTCTGAATAAATTTTGGTTTGACTGTATCTATTTGATAAATGAAGTTAACCAACTAACATTATACATACTCTTTTGGTTTCTGTACCTAATATTTAAAAAATGTACAAATGCAATAAAAATATTGGTATCGGTACTCGGTATCGGCAAGTACCAAAAATAAAAGTATCGGTATCGGGCGAGTACTGAAAAAAGTGGTATCGGTGCATCCCTACTAGTTATGTAAATCTATAAAATATTTTATATATAAAAAATTGGGGAGAAACTACTATTTGTATATACTAAATAAAAATCCATGTAATTACGTACTAAATTACAAATGTAATTATTATTGTTCTTTAAAATTATTTTATTTATTTACTTATTTATTTTAAAAATATTACTACTAGTTTCTGTAAATAAAAAAGTTTAAAAACTACAATTGAAATGACATGAGTAAATCTTGATAGAAGTAATTATTCTATTCCTTTTTTTTTTTTTGGTAATGTAATGGTACACTATTAAAGACAGTGGAATTTAGCTGTTTTTGAAATCTGTGCACAGAATAACTCCTAAAAACCCATCAAATGGTGCAACAGTCTATTAAGGGTTGCATGGTGCTGGTTCTGGCTTTAGCGTCTGCGTCTCATTTGCAGATATGTTCTGGAGAAAAGTGCTGTTAGAGACATCTGGATGCTTTTGTACTTCAGAGTCATGGAGTCTTTGTCATTCACATAAAATATTTAATGGAGCGCCATAATGTACATTTAAAAGGCTTCCACGCTGACTATAGGAGGTTTTCAATTTCTAGTTGTTTTAGGAGGGCGCTCTATTAAAACATGATGCACGCTCTCTTTGTCTTCACTCCGTTCTGTCTCTGGTTCTCTTAAATGCATTCTGTCTAACACGGAGTAGACAATGGATGTGGATGACTCAACTTCCAGAAGCCCGTTGTGCACAAGGCACTTCATGTGACGGCTTCAACATGCAGCATTTATAGCATTTTAATAAACTAACTGCTACAGCGCTTTTGATCCCATTTGTCCATGCTGTTCTCGTAAATCGATACATATCAGGGGGGGAGACGTTTAAGAAATGAAATGCCAAGCACATTTCTCCAAACCCTCTTTGTACCTGTCAGTATGTGTCCATGTGTGTTTATGCCGTGTAAATCTGCTAGTGGATTTGTAAGGATCGCGCTGAGGTAAAAGCGACTCGTTTTATCCTCCTCACACAGGGACGTTCACGGGGACGGGGGTGTCATGGCAGCATGTTTGTGTTTCACCCTGTGAAAGTATTATCCGTTCCCAGGGGAGACGGTGTTTGATCAGGCCCCTGCTCTTCCTCTGCCTCAGCTTGGGCCCAGATCTCTGCTACTCTGGCTCTTTGTTATGCACCGCAGGATCTCTGGTTCTCCACACATGCTCCAACACTCCTATTTCGGTCGTTTTGTCGGCCCACATTCCAACATCGAAAAGAGTTAAGACATCTGGCTGCCGCTGACATGGATCGGCCCTGTGCTACTTTGTGACACGCCATGCATGTATTTTATGAAGCTGTTCAGACATCTTTAATACAAGACAGTGTCACCTGTTGAGATGTGTGGCTGGATTTCTTTCCGTGGCGGATTCTGGGCTGACTGACGCTGTCTGTCAGATGCAGACACGAGCCAGCAAACTCAACATTCCCTTCCTGTTCCCTTCCCTCCCGTCAGCGCCGCTCAGAGAAAATGGATATTGGGTTAACAGACTGTAAAGGCCCGTTCACACCAAGAATGATAACTATAAAGTTAACTATAACAGTAACTACTACTGTTATATTAGCTCCCACACCAATGTGCAGTTACATTTACTCTCATTCTGCTAATTTTTGCCGGCATTTCAATAGGAATCCGTGCGATTGGGGATTCTGCAAAAGGGCAAAAGATTTGGTTGGGGTTTGGGTTGAAGTTGGTCAAGCAGATTTGCCGCAACAGAAAGCAGCTTGATTTGGAAGTTAAGGTTAAAGCAACTGTATGGAAGGTTTTTTTTTAACCTTGAAATGCTATTTTCTAAATCATTCTGCTGGTATACTGACTTCTAATAAGGCAAATGGCTTGTGTTTCTTTCCCATGCTCACCAAAGGTTTGTTCTGGAAGTATATAAGTTTGGAGAGCGGGTACAAAATTCAGCAAAAAGGACCGACTACTTTACGGCTGCAAGAAATGCATGTGTACAGCGATCCACTGTAATTATGACTGTGAATTCCACTCACTTGACTGTACATTCTCATAAAAAAAAAGATACAAAAGCTGTCATTGGGGTCAGGTGTTACCCTTTACTAATATGTGCCATTTAGATACTAATATGTACACTTTAGGTAATAATATGTACCTTTAAGGTACTAATATGCTCCGTCCAGTTTGTACCTTTTTTTCTGAGAGTGTAGAGGGCTACATACATTTGCTTTAAAGGGATAGTTCACCCTAAAAATGAAACTTTTGTCATCATTTACTCACACTCAAGTTGTTTTAAACATGTCTGAGTTTCTTTCTTCTGTTGAGCACTAAAGGAGATATTTTAAAGAATGTTGCTAACCAAACAGTCAACCGTAGTCATTGACTTCTATAGTATTAGAAAATAAATACTACGGAAGTCAGTTGTTTGGTTACTAACATTCTTCAAAATATCTTCTTTCATGTTCAAAGAAACTCATACACATTTGGAACAAGTGGAGAGTGAGTAAATGGTGAAAATTTTTATTTTGGGGTGAACTATCCCTTTAACATTCATTATAAGCATGCGCTGCAGTTTTTGTCTTCTGGTGCTTTAAATGGTCATGCTCTTTAAAGCAAGATATATACTGATTGGCTGTCAATATTTTTATTATCCATTAGCTGGAAAAAAAAAATAGTTCTGAAAGTGATTCCAACAGTGTTGTTCCTCTGTTGTTGTCACTGCCCTATTCTCTTAAAATTATCATTATAGTTATCACCCTTGAGGTGAACGAGCATTTAAGGAGGGAGAGAGCGAGAAAGCTGACAAATGGACAGTCAAACTAACCCAAGCAGACAGATTGATGAACATTGAACGAGACAGGGACCAGGTGAGCCAATGTCGCAGAATCGGCTTTTTGTAATTTCCAGTGATCCACCCCGGATGCGTTTGATTTCGGAGCCTTTGTAATGGCACAGCAGTTAGAAGTGGGTTAATTAGCCCAATGAGACCAGCGCTTGCAGGAATCTACATGCTGACTGCTGCCATTTCCTGTTCGATTCTTTTCAATTAGATGCCTCTGTTTTGATCCTGTGCTAATATGCAAAATCTTTTAGCTGCCACCCGCTGTCTGATATCTTTGAGTCATATGCGTGCACATACATGGCATAGGAGAAGTATATTTATTCTCCGCATGCCGCTGAGACTTTTTTTTTAAGAGCTGAACATCTTTTGCTGTATCTGAATGGTTCTCGAGGGCTGCTTTGGTGCTGATAGCTGCCACTTTCTGCTGGTGTGTAGGGGAGAGTCCTACGGCTCAGTGCTGCTAGCAAACTTTGAGTGTTGGGACTGGGACAAGACAGTAATATGTGAAGTGTGTGCTGCTTACAAACTGCTGAGAGGTTGTTGTGTCCTATAGGAATAGTTCTGAAACTGGAAAACTCTTCCTGATGTCATTCCAAAACTGTATGTTATTTTTTGACAAATGAATCTTCATATTTGTCCTTGCAACGAAATGAATTAAAATCACTCTAAATTCATTTTTTAAGTGCGCACATATCACCTTTACGCACGTTTGACGTTTGGCTTAGATATTTGATGTCATAACCTCATGCCGTTTGTTTATGAGACAATTGAGACTTAAATTTCAGTCTGAAAGGGAGTCATGTGGATTGCATTTATGTTTTTTTTTCTTTCAAAAAAGCATTTATTGTATTGCTTTTTTAGCTATTTTGGAGCTTGACAAACCCTGGTCACTGCAATCTGTCATTTAAAAAGATCACTCTAAAGATTCAGATAATTCTTCTTTTGTGGTTTGTGGAAATAATAATCATGTACAGGAATGGAATGACGTGAGGGTGAGTAAATAATGACAGAATTTTTCATTTTTGGATGAAATATGAAACTGAACTGATGCTTTGTATCACAGCTCTTCTTTTATTGCTGTCTCCTTATGATGCAGTGCTTGTGTTATAGAATTTCTCATTTGTGCTTTGCTTCAGATAAAAGTCCAAATTAGTTTTACATCAACGTTTCTCTGACCCGTGAAACACTCTGAACTGCATTTTGTATATAAGAGGAATAAGAAAATGTATTATTGTTACTCTTCTTCTTTGGCTGCTTCTCCTTTTTCTTCTTCTTCTTCTACTACTACTAGTGATAGTAGCAGTATTAAAATTAATAAGATAAATATTAATTATTATTGGTATTAATACATGTAGATTATACTTTTGTATAAGAACTTATTTTTATTATGATTATTAATAGTACTGTAGCATTAATACTACTAATAGTAAGCTTTTATATAAAGTATAATCTACATGTCATTAATCATAGTAATAGTATTATTATTAATAATAACAATAAGAAGAATATATTATTATTATACATTTAAGAATAAATGATAATAATCATAATAATAATTATTGTAAATATAAATAATGCTTAATTGTAAATAAAAGCACACTTTTAATTGACAACTTTGTTTTGGTTTATTTTCTGTTAAGCACTCTGATACATACAGTTCTGCAGGTCTTAGTCTTCTGTATATGGATTATGAGTTCAGTTATACTGTCTTAGCCTATCTTGACACATTTTACCCCTTCTCTGTTTTTTCTCTGGCTCGTAACCTTTTCCTCTGTGGCCCGTCACTTAGCTAAAAATCTGTCTTTTTTTCTCTGAAAAGAAAAATCCACTCATTCACCAGTGAATAAAAAGGGCACAGGACTGTTTTTAGAGAGCCCTCAGCTATAAACTCACAGAGGAACATAGAGGAGATAGTCTTTCATTTTTCACTATCCTTCCACACTTTACAGGCTTAACCTGAGAAAGGGAAGCCATTCCTGTCTGTAATCCAGCCTCAATGATTCTATTAGAATAGACCGTTTTAAATAGCTAAAAACGCTGAAAAGACCTTTGACTTCCATGTATTACTGATTCATGAATTGGATTCAAAATGAGCCGTAGTCATGTTTAAACAGCTTTTGTCATGGTCATTATAAGCACAGCCTATTAAATTGATATCTCAATTTATTGGCCACATTTCTGCAACTGCATAGTCGCAAATGACCTCTGACCCTCGACCATGTACTGTCTGTGTGGTCTTAGGTAGGATGGTGGGAGAACGGGGTGATACGTTTGAGGTATCCTGCTTGGTCTCGATATAGCCCCTTCCTGCAGCCGCCCGATGATGCTCAGCACCTGAGGGTCGTGACCCTGGAGGAGCGACCCTTCGTTATCGTGGAGCTTGCAGACCATGCCTCTGGAACCTGCATTAGGGACTCTGTGCCATGCAGACGGCCTCTCAATGCCAGGTTAGTACTGATCTGGCAACCTTGACTGCCGTTTATCATGGCTTTTCTGTATGGTGGAAAAGCAACATTGTAGTAATATTGTTCTAGTGGATCCCAAGAAACCAAAGTTAAATTAGAAAATGTCATGTTTCAGTGGACAGGTTAGGAACTAGATTTTCTTCCTTTCACGGGTCTATGACCTTTCAGTGAGACAGGCATTGCAGTGTCATTCTATATTTTCCTAAACCTTCTGACAAATGCAGGTGGTAGTGGCTAAATGCAGTAATGCATCTGTTACAGTCAAAATTATATTAGTACTGCACACCCGCATATGCCAATACTTAATCTTTATATTCACTACTTTAGCTTGTTCATTGTTTGGACAACAGAGTAGTTTTAATGTCTTAAATGTTTTACATTTTGTGCCAAATATTAATCATTTCAATTTTATTTTATTTTATTGTTTTTATTTAATTTTATTTACTTACAACTTAAATACTTATTAATATTAAAAGCTATTATCACGTGAGAATGCTGATGGCAAAACAGTGGTTTAAAAATAAAGATGTCTTCATAACTTGCACTTCATTATTTTCATAACTTGCAATTCAATATTTAGGTGTGCATTTATATTTTATTTGTTAATTGAAAAGCAATATATTGCATGCCAATGAAGTACTTTGAAATAGAAAATTGAGGCTGTAAGCATGGCCTGTTTTTTCTTGTTCCAAAGAGTTCCATTTGGAAGCTTTGGTCATCTTTCTCCGGTCATTTGTCTCATTCCTTCAATTTTGTCTTTATCTCTGTGTCTCTCACTTCCCCCCCCCCAACATTTCACTATGAAGTTCCTGGGGCTATACTCACCTAGCTTGGCTTTGCAATCGATCACTCGTTTCCTCTCTCTCTTTCTCTCTCTCCCCCTCTCATTTTGACTTTGCCTTGTGGCGATCTCTATTCATACTTAGCCATCATGTTGCTTGTCAAACTGCTTGAGCTCTTGCCGTGTACATGTGTCTCTGCGGATGCTGCTTCTCTACTCCCACACCAGTCATATGGATGCCCGTGTTTCGTCTCATTATATCATTTTTAGTTATATCAAAGAAAATGTACCAAGACAGTATACTACTGAAAACCTTGCATCTTTCCTTATTTCACATTCCCTCTGTAACTCTCAGTCCTTTTGGTAACACTGTTCCTCTTGTTTTCTCTCTTCAGGGGAATACTGTATATGTGTGTGTGTGTGTGTGTGTGTGTGTGTGCGCGCACGCACAACACGTATTGTAAAATAAATATAGTAAAATATTATTACAATTTAAAATAACAGTTTTCTGTTTTAATATATTTTAAAATGTAATTTATTCCTGTGATGGAAAAACTTTTCAGCAGCCATTACTCCAGTCTTCAGTGTTACATGACCCTATAGCAATCATATTTAAGAAACATTTCTTATTATTATCTGTGTTGATTATCAAAGTTGTTCTGCTTGATATTTTGTGGAAATCGTGATATATGTATATAAGTGCAAAATAACAGCATTTATTTGAAATCGAAATCCCTGTTAACATTATGAATGTCTTAACTGTCACTTTTGACTAGTTTAATGCATGCAAGTTAATAATAAAGTATTACATATTATATTACATTATATTATATTACATTATATTGTAATATATTATATTATAGCTAAAAACCAATGCATTACCAAATGTTAAACTGAATCTTATTGCGCAGTTTAAAAAAACAAAACAATATGTGAATAATTTTTATTGACACCTGCAATAAACCTAAGTGAGCACTTTCTCTCTGATTACAGTGCACTTCAGGAAGGGGTGGCACCCATGAAACAGTGCTGCAAAGGATTCTGCATCGACATCCTTAAGCGATTGGCCAGAATTGTCGGCTTCACCTATGACCTCTACTTGGTGACCAATGGGAAACATGGAAAAAAGATTGATGGAGTTTGGAACGGGATGGTGGGAGAGGTGAGGGAAGCTTTTTGTGTCGTTCACCTACTTTAAACCAGCCGAGCTTGTTGTATTCCCATCAGCGCCTCTCTTTATTCACTGCACTGATGAGCAAGTGCCCTGGATGCACTGTCAGCGATATCACTGAGAAGACTTCACTTGCATATGTAAATACAGGCATTAGGTGGAGAGAGGACTACAGATTAAAGGCAAGGCTGCTGTTCTCTTTAGTATTAGTACTCATGATGATCAAACACTGTGATTATGGGATAGTTAAGGTCATGGTGCAGTGTTTTTGAAGAAGCTGCAGAATGGAAACAATGTGAGCCTATGACATGTGTCCATGTTCTTTGAATGCATGAGAATGTATTTGACTGTGTGGTTGAGTGAGTGTCTTATCCAGGGCTTTCAACTCTGAGGCAGGGGTTTGCAAACATTTTCATGCCATGGACCTTCAAAAATGATGATTCTCTTGAGAGGGACCCCTTTCCTAATATGTAAAAGCAGTGATATATTTTCATGCATAAAGACCCATTTTGGGGAAAATAGTAAGTGTGATATTATCAAAGACAATATGTTGTTTCCAAAGTTAAATAATTGGCTTTTATAATGTCATTTCTATTTTAAAATGTGATTTATGTCTGTGATGGCAAAGCTGAATTTTCAGCAACCAGTGTCACATGATCTTCCTTCCTTCCTTCTTGTTGGTGTTGAAAACAGTTGTGCTGCTTAATACATGACACATTGTTTTCAGGAAGAGTAGAAAGGTCAAAAGAACAGCATTTATTTGAAATGGATTTTTTAGTAACAATGTAAAATCTTCATTGTCACTTTTGATCAATTTAATCCATCCTCGCTGAATGAAAGTATTAATTTCTTAAAATTTAAAAAAAAAAAATCTTACTGACCCGAAACTTTTGAGTGGTAGTGTATGAATTAAATGGAACTTAAAATTTCATGACATTTATATCCCTTATTTAATTTTTTAATTAAACTGTTTTATAATGTAGTAATGTTAATCAATATTCTTAATGAAAGTTAAGGGGTTGCTGAAGAACTCAAGGCTTTTTTATTGGGGGTACTTGAGAGTCTGAGTGCAGGAGGTTGAAACCCCCTGCTCTTTGTATAGAGTTTGAACGTGTTAATCCAGCGCGGTGTGTGATGTAACAGAGAAGTCACTTGTTGGCCTGTTTGATGACAATTCCCACCCGTATCTGCCGGCCTCCAGGATTACTGAAACACTCTAAACCCTTTTAACACAGTGCCAAGAGATTCTGCTAATGAGTCACACACATACACAGAGGTATCCAAGAAAGAGGCCTGAAGCCAGCCAAAAACGACTTGCGAATGCATGCGAGTATGAATGACAGACAGGAGGGTTGTTGTTTTGAGAGCGAGACCCTGCTGTGGTGCTCACACCCTGGAGTGACGTCTGTTCGAGACAGTTGCTAGGGAGTGGAAACTGCTCTTTTCACTGTCTCATTCCTTCTTCATTTCCATTCTTCTGCTCTTAATATTTCTCCCGGTATCTTATGTGTTTTTTTCCGTTCTCTCTGCTCCTCAGTTTTCAGCATATCTCTTTTTCTGTGACCACGTAGTTTTCTTTTTCTCAATCTTTTCCTTTCTCTTTCTCCTTCTCTCTTGCTTGCTTTTTGTCTCTTCGCTGCATGTTTTGATGCTCAGCCAATCAGCTGTCAGCACGGCCCCTGTAGGCGCAGTGCTAAGGGTTATTTTCTCAGGCTGCGAGAGTGTGTGTGTGCGTGAACGGCTTTGATCTTCTATCTACGACAGGTCCACATTTCCCTTGTGCGGCATGCCGGCCTGCAGCAGGACCAGGGCTGCGGCGCGCTCACAAGGAAACAACTTCATCGATGTTCTTTCCACAGTCTCTGCAGACCAACAAATGCTCACTTTCCACAAGGATGCAAAAGCCCTCGCTGCACACTGGAAATTATACTACCTTATCAATCCCTTCTCCCACACACACATTTATACGCGCAGGCAGGTGCGCGTCTTTTCGGAATCAATGCAGCGTTCAAGCTGTCAGAGGAGATTTGGGAAAGCTTGTAACCTGCATGAATTTAGGCAGTGACTGAACTCTGCACCGTCGCCATAAATCCCGTTCCTCTGCATCATGAGCTTTTCACACCATTCAGGAATATAAAACAGAATGCAAAGTGAGAAAAGAGAACTGGAAAGTAAAGATGTTAATGTTGTCCCTCCTTTTTGGTTTTCCCGGACATGCTTTTTCTCTGTATGGGGTATACTGTCTCGAGATGGATAACCTGCCTCCTGTAGCGTCTGGGTGTGCAGGCTTCTCACTACACTATCTGCTCGACCAATTTATGGATACTGGAATGCAGCCAGTATGTGGATTGAATATTAATTAGAAATGGAGGTTCACTGAATTTGCAGATAGACCACCTGTTACTCACTACATATGGCTCCTGTGTTCAGGCAAAATTCTGAATTCTTGCTGAGGACTCACCTCCATATCACCAGTTCGTGATAGTTCTTTGACTGTCTAGTTTTGGTGCACAGTGAATACTTTGATCAGTAAAGTGTAGAGGAAATTCTGTTGGGCCATAGTCTAGCAGTTGAGCTGTGGTGCTCATGCGATTCATCTTCGTGTCAATTCACAAGCCAGTTCCACTCTTCTCTCACTAACATTTCATGGCCTCCTTCCAGTGGCATTGCTGGCACTTCTCCCCATCAAGTAAAAAAAAAAAAAAAACGTGCAGCCTTATTTTCTAGGGGGCCTGGGGGTAGGGTTCAAAGAACCACAGTGTTCAATTCTGGTGACTTTTGTAGCAGCAGTTTTACATTTTTTGTAGTGCTATTGTGTGGCATCAATGTAACTATGGGTTACAGATGATCACTAGTTCAGTTTCTTATTTGCATAATTCTAACCTAAAAATATTTTTACTCTATCTGTGACCCAGAAAATGGACACGAAATAAATACGTTTTAAATAATAATATTTATTAACATAAATATTAACAACATTTATTCACAGCATGTTGATTGACCTTTGGCTTCCTAAACTTCAATATAGGGCTACAACTCATGATTACTATAATAATTAATTATAATTAATCCCAGTAAAAAAATATTTCCTGTATTCTATTGAAAAAAACATGTTATTCCACAAATTGATACAAATATAACTGTACAAATGGCTATGCTGTATATAATGTGCCAAAAAGGTTCAAAATATACACTACCCTTCAATAGTAGGGTAGTATGTACCTTTTAAAAGTCTGAATAGGATTTTTAAAAATGTTTTTTGTAACGTTGAAAGTAGCATGACTGCTGTTTAAATAACGGCCGTTTCTCAAACGGAAGGCTGCATCCTCCGGAGGTCGCATTTGCAGGCTACATACCTCATCAAGCCTGGTTTATTTCACTATTATTTAACTGAGCATTACATTCGCCAGTCATAAGCATATTACAACAATTTACGCTTAAAGGGGTCATATGATGTTGCTAAAAAGAACATTATTTTGTGTATTTGGTGTAATGAAATGTGTTTATGAGGTTTAAGGTTCAAAAAACAGATTATTTTCCACATACTGTACATTATTGTTTCTCCTCTATGCCCCGCCTTTCTGAAACCCGTCGATTTTTACAAAGCTCATCGGTCTGAAAAGCGAGGTGTGCTCTGATTGGCCAGCTATCCAGTGCGTTGTGATTGGCCGAATACCTCAAGCGTGTGACGGAAATGTTACGCCCCTACCATACTGTGATGCCCTGTCAGGCCGGAGCGACGAGACAAAAACATTAAAACCCATTATAAATGAGGCATTTGTTGCATCCAGTGGGGACATAATTACGGATCATAATTACTTATATTGTCTTTTTACGCGTTGCATCGCGCCGCTTAAACATAAAACCATGTCTGCATGTGTGATCGGAGAAATGACAAACAACAAGCAACAAGCGCTACTCTACACTGCTCAAAACTCGCGTTTGAATCATCAGTGGCAAATCCTTAAAATGAAAACGTACTTACAGTCTGTGAGTCAGAACAGACGGCATTGTAGCTTCAGGAAACAGTCCTCCGTTAAATGCGTTGCACACACACAAATATTTGGGTTGAACTGTTCTGGAACAGTGTTGTAAATACAACTTAACCACTGATTTCTAGTCGTGTCCTCTTTTGGAAGACCAAACAAAGTAGTTTCGCTTTCACAACGAAACACACAGCATCACACACGGTGGCCTTGAGTGAGTGGAG